AGGGGGGGGGGGGGGGGAAGGGGCTGAATCCGGAGGGGCCGCCTCCGCCGCCTCGGGGGGTTGCGGGGTAGTGGTTCCGGAGCAACGGCTGTTGGAACTGCTAGGGCTGCAGGTGAGGGAGAGGAGGGAAGGGAAGTGCGGAGGAGGGGGGGAAGGGGGAGGAAGAAGGGCTGGTGCGGAGGACTGACTGCCAGCCGGTCTGTCGCCTTTCCGGCTACCTTTCTGGCTGAGTGTGGTGGGTCACCCTTGTTGTGGTGATGGTGGTGGTGGTGGTGGCGGAGGTGGTAAGCACGGGAAGGTAAGGGAGGCGGAGGGAAAGGGAGGAGGGGGGTGAAGTCGTCTGTCGGGCTATATCTGGCTGAGCGGACAGCGCAGCCTGTTCCGGTGTCTGAGTCCTGGTTCCTTCTTGAACCTTCCGCGGCCGGATCCGACCCGCCCATGCTCCTCCCCCCCGCCCTCCCCCGGGCTCAAACCTTCCTCCTTCTCCCCCCTTTTGTACACCCCCTCCCAACACCGCCCCCGGCCCATTACCGAAACTGTACGGCAGCAGCCCGCGGACCTCCTGGCCTGCTGCCCGGAGCCCTCCGGAAACCGACCAGCTTTCTTCATTGCCGTACATCACGACAGCTGTACGATACGGATGGTGATCCGCGGCAGTGGTGACCTGCCGGAGTTGTTGAATGGAGTATTGGCCCCGGGGAGTACGACATCTCTGGGTCCAGGTAAGCAACTCACCCCGGGGATGGGGAGAGTGTGTGTGTATGTGTATGTGTATGTGTGTGTGTAGTCCCCAAGAACTTGAACCTATTGGGACATGGAGTCCTCCGACGCGACCTCTGGGTGAACTGAAAAGGCCCGAGAAGGCAATGTGCTGCTACGGCTACGGCTACGGCTATGTTATTCCTGCTGCCGGTGCTGCTGCCGGTCTCCTGCGCAGGTTCCGCCCACCGCGGCATGTTGGAGGCGGCTCGGGCTCTGCTGCAGGAGCAGTCCGGGCGGCTGAGGGCGGCAGTGGAGGCGCATCCCCAGTACGGCCTGAGGGTCCTGGGACACGCGGAAGCTGCGGGTGGGGGTGGGGGGCGGGGGCGGGGTGGGGGGCCGGGGCTTGGTGTGTGTGGGTGTGGGTGTGTGGGTGTGTATGGACAGAGGTGCGATCTCCCCGGTATGGATTTGGGGGGAGGGGAAGACTCCATCTGACTTGCCGCCACCCGGCAGAGGAGCAGGGGCCCCGGGGAGATGTCCGGGGAGGTGGGGGGGGGCTGTGTTTTGGGTGCCTACACTACTGTGCGTGTCGGATGCTGTCCTGCTGAAGGGGGGGGGGGAAATGGCTATCGCTGCCAGCGGCTGGCTGAACTGGGCGCGACCTGTCTAGCGTCATGATGTCCAACCAACGATTAGCAACGCTGACAACGATTAGCCGCTAAGACCACGACCATCGACGAGCTTGCGAACATTTGTACGACCCATGTACGACCCGTGTACGGCACAGGGATTGCAGCGCTGCTGGTGGTGGTCCTGGCGCGGGAAGGCGCTGCGGGTTTGGAGCGCGTGGGTAACCCCGGGGGGGGCCTGCGAGCTACCTGCTTCTCACCGCCGGCGGTGATGACGTCCGAGTTAACGGAGCCGTACGCCGGGTGTATCGACAGTGTCGTATATAATGTACGTACGTACGAGCGCGAGGCCGCGCCGTACTGTTGCTGTTGCGCGCTTTCGCAGCTCTGTACATAACGACACGTGGTTCAAGCGGATACGGCACAGATGTGGCAGAGTCGTCCATGAAAAAAGGCGAACTGCTTTTATGGAATGTCGTACCCAACAATCCCCCGTCTTTGATTGAGAGCACTTAGGGCGTGAGGGGGGTTCAGGTTACCCTGTATGTTGTTACAGGGTGGTTAACTTCGCCAGCGGCCCCCTTTCCCGGGGCAGTCCCTGCTCTCCCCTGCTAGAGGGGCACCCTAATCCGTCACCCCATCCGACTTCAGAATGTATTCGTTGGGTTCGGCAACTCACCACCAGCATCCAACCAAATCTAGCGGATCAACGGCGCATCAACTTAGTTCCTGGTCAGCTCGCAAGTTGATATTATCACGTCCTACACCGTCCATAAGATGGGGGGCCACCTCCCATTTCATCACTCCTCAAACACCCGAGGAGCCGGCAGGCGGATTTGAACCCGGGTCGACTGGGTCAACTGGGAGCAGAAGTCAGGCCTTAACCTCTGCCAGCCGCCTGCCCTGTATGTATGTAGCCGCTGTAGCCGGTCGGAGGGGGCGGCGAGGCCGAATACAACCCCTTGTGTGCATGTGGTACAACCCCCGTTCCCAGCTTGTGCGTGTGTATGTATGTGTATGTATATGTGTACGGCAAATGTACACCTCTTATGACACCCTTTTCCATGCGGTTTGCTCCCGCAGCCTCCTTCCGCCCCAACTACTAGCTGAAGCCTAACCAACATCTAAACTACCGTAACCGCGTTTATTTTTTCCGTTGCCGTACTCGCGTCATCCACCCGGACAAGGTCCCAACTTACCTCATCTCCTCACACACACACATTTATATCACGACTACAATTGCTAGTACCGATCGGCGGATGTCAGATCCCGTGATACGCCGCCCAGAATACAACACACACCCACACCCCTGCACAGCC